AACTCCCTGGGCAACCTCACAAGGGAAACAGCGCTCGACTGGATGGCAAGGGTAGCTGCTATGACAGATTTGGCCGTGGGAGATTTGTCAGTGTTGCTGTGAGAGTGCATGCAGCCAGAGTGTTGCCGGCACAGAATGCCCGAGGACAGCAACAGCGGGGTTCGGTGCCCGGTGTGCTTCGCGCCAGTAAACACACCAGGGGTGGAGAAACAAACAAAGTTTATTTGAGATCCCAAAGCGGTGCAAGGAGACTGGCAAGTCTCAAATCAAGCACATTAACAGGAACAGTTTTTCTTCTTTTATACATTTTGCAGTTAAGCCTCAGCCCCCCCTTCCCCTCCCTTCCTCGCCCTCTACCCCTCCCTTCCCTGGTAACAGTCACTAAGCAAATAACGATTACATTTAAGCAGCTAAGTCATTCTTGGCAGCTATAAGCCTAGCTTGTTAGTAACTTCTTTAAACCGTTATCTTGTCCTTTTTCCCTTCAGCCAGAAACATGCAGGCCTCATTATTACCGCTTGATACCGGAGTGAGCAGGGGGTTGCACGAGGATAACTGGTTGCTTACATATTCCAATTGCACCTGGCTTTTGAGGTTGATTAGAGTTTAAACATGGAAGAAGTTTGGTTCATATAGGCCTAGTGCAGGAAGGCTTCATTGACACTTTGTGGCCTTCCACCCTCCCGAGTTACCTAGGGTGAGGCCTAGTGACATCAACAAGAGGACTATGCCAGTCTCCCTCCTGAGCTCCATGCCGCTGCTGTCCCCACGCCTCTCGACCTTTACACCGGTGTGTTTCAGTTTTTCTTTCCACGTAGCAGCCTCATTGGCAGATTCTATTCAGAAAGGCAATGGGCAGATGAATGGCCCGAACGCTACGTAGGAAGAAAGAAAGTATTGTATCTAATGGTGGGGGGGCCACCTGTGACTGTCAGGAATTCAAAGATTCGCTAGTGCAAGGGTTAAATCCGGCACTAAGAATAGTGGTAGGGCACTTAGATCCACAGGTGCTCTCTCTCAGGGAATTAGAGTCGCGCCTGAGGGAGGAGTATGAACTCCAACGGGGAGCGTTTCCCAGTGGACCCCGAAGTCGAAAGGTAGCAGCAGTGGCCAGCAGTAAGCGGGGGGCCCTTAACAGCTCTTTTACTAATACGCCACAAAGGAGCTACTCTACCCGGCCACAAAAGCGATATGGAAAAAAAGAATCACCGGGGACAGGCCGCCGCCAAACCTCCGATGCCAACCGGAAGGAATTTAGAAGGCTGGTGTGGAACCAACTTCTCGCATACGAGAGCAAGGCCGATATTGATGGACTCCCCACCCCAGAGCTAAACCGCAGGCTAGTGGCCCACCAACAGCGGGCATTGGGTGGAGATCCGCATCTGCCACTGCTGTGACAGGCTCCCGGCTCCCACGGTGGCCCAGCCTCCACCCCACTAACACTCGATGGCTGGGGCCGACCAATTGCCGCGGGAAGCCTGGGATTATTTTTACACAAACTATGTTGGTGGACACTGGGGCAGCAGTGCCACTATTGTGCCAGGAGCAGAACCCCTATGTGGCTTCTCTCCCGGTAGGCCTCACACAAACCGGT